CATCCACATGGGTCAAGTGGAGACTGAGGTCCCTTACCTCACAGGACTGTCACAAGGAGTCAGTGAGAGAATGGAAGTAAAGCTCCAATTACCATGCCAGGCACTGCAAACACCCCGCATATGGAAGCCATGTGATCAGGAGGGGCTGAGGTCAGGGTCCTGCAGAGCCACCTTGGAGCAGAGGCCAGCATATATTAAGGCTTTAGTGCTACTCCAATTAGAAAAGAAAATGGAACCATAAAAAGCTGCACTGGAGAAGTTGTTTGTGATCATATGTAACTTCTCTCCCATTCTATAGCTGTGAAAACAGAGGCCCAAAGAGGGGAAGGGACTTGCTAAAGGCCACGAAGTCAATTGATGAAGAGCTGGGATTCAGATCTCTTCACTTCCCACTCAGAAACTCTTCCCCCAGGACCATCGTCACCTGCCTCCTATTGTCTGTTGGATGTTGTGTTAAATGAGCACACAACATCCAACACTCTCTCCCTTTCTGGGTCTCTATCCCTCCACCTAAGAATTCTCTAGCTCACAGTCTCTGGAGTTGCGGCACCTCTTCTGAACCTCCAGGCACCTCACCTGTGGATGAATGCAAATGCCCCATGTCACCTGACTCACAATGATTCAGCCAAGTCCATCAAATTCTTGCCTTGGTCACCTCTGTCCATGGCCCAGGACCCTGGCTTGGATTTTTAGCTCATGGGTCAGCAATCTTTTTGTATAAAGGGCCAGATAGTAAATACTTTAGGCTTTGCAGGCCATATGATCTCTGTCACAAATACTCAACGTTGCTATTGTAGCTTGACAGCAGCCACAGAGAGTATGTCAATGAATGGGCTTGGCTGTGTTCCAATAAAACTTTATTTACAAAAACAGGCAGTGGGCTGGATTTGATTGTGGGCCATAGTTTGTTGATCCCTATTCTAGACCATTCCAAGCTGGGTCCAGCATTTCCTCTGGGATTAGAGTAACCAATTTGTCCTGGTTTGTGTGGGATTCTTCCAGTTTTAGCACTGAACATCCTGTATCCTGGTGAAACATCTCAGTTTCAGACAATCAGGATGGTTGGTCACTCTATCTGGGATCTGGAGGCCCTTGCTTTCTCTTATCTCTGCATTGCTCTGGCAGTGACACTCAGCTAACTCCACCATAAGGAGGAGGAGGAGAAAGAATAGGAGGAAGAAGAGTTATGCTTCTTGTTTATTGTGGCTTCCAACATGCAGGCACTGTGTGAAGGACTTTGCCAACATTACTTTGTTTGATCCTTACAACAATCCAATGAGGTGGAGTTGAAGTTGCTTACAGTAAAGGGTAAAGGCTGGACTGTAACTCAGCTTCCTCTGCCTCCAGAACCCAGGTTTTCTTACTTCTTCCCCAGATTGTAAACTCATTGAAGACAGAGCTGGGTTCTCTCATTTCTGTATCTTCAGTGCCCAGCAGAGTATGATGCTTAGAAGATTCTGAGCGAACACTAAATATCAGCAAATACTGATGCTGAATAAATACTTGAATGGATGCATGAATGGATGGATGGATGGGTGGATGGATGGAGGGATGGATGGATGGATGGAGGGATGGATGAATGGATGAATGGACAGATGGGCAAATGGATGGATGGATGGACAGATGAATAGATGGATGGTTGGATAGATGGATGAACGGATGGATGGACAGACAGATGGATGGATGCACAGAAGAATGAAGGGATGAACAAATCTCACCACATTCAAATAGACACTTCCCTCTTCTGTGACATGATTCGTTTCTGCCAACCAAACCTCCAGGTGAATTAAGCGGGGAAATGCTGAATGTATGCTATGACATCAGTTACATAAAACATGTCTGCTGACACTGGGGAGGTAATATGACATCACGGTTAAAAACATGGTCTCTGACGTCAGGTGATCTGTGTGCAAATCCCAGGAAGCCTGGCTTCTGAGCTGTGTCACCTGGGCAAGTCATTCATTTCTCTGAGCCTCACAGATTATAACAGTAGACTAGATGATATACAAAGCTCCTGGCATGATGTGTGCACCTGGTAAACACTTTGCACTTGTTACTTATTATTATTAATGCTGATGTTAGTATGGACAGAAAGCAAGGTAGGAATGGGACACCAATAGTGAACAGTACAGGTGTTCATTATGCACCTCTGAGTAAGAACCAGGGTCAAACAGGAGAAGGAAATAAAGATGACTTACTGGTAACTGCATCAGTTAGCAATGACCATGACAATGGCGTGTAGCAAACAACCAGAAAACCCCAGTAAGATATCATGAGAGGCATTGATTTTGCTGATCTGCTTGTGACCAGCTGGAACTTGGCTGGGTTCATCCCTTCACCAAGGTCTGGACTTAACATGTGCTCATTCTAAGGCCAGGCTGAGAGAGCAGCTCTCCACCTGGCCATGGCAGAAACACACAGGTCCCCTAAGGCCTCAGCTTGGAATGGGCACACTGTCTCTTCCACTTCACTCTAATGGCCAAAGCCGGTCACATGGCTGAACCCCAAAGGGAGGGAGCAGGGGCCTAAGCTTTGCCTGTTCCATGAATGAGAAGAGCAATCATGTCTTCCGGCTAAGGGCATGGATACAGGGAGGAGGCAGGAAATGGGGCCAATGATGCATCCACCTCAATAACCAGGCACTGGCAGACCTTGAAAAGGGGCCCCACAGTGGCCCAGCCCTGCCCTCCTCACCAGCTTCTCACCTCAAGGTTCTGTCTCATCAGCTCTTGGGCAAAATCTGGAAGATCCTTCAGCAGCAACCCTTGCAGTCCATGGGGACCAGAGACCAACCCATACCCCTCCACACTCCCTATCTTCCCAACATCTGGACCTGCTCCAGGGAGCCATTAATCTCGGGCAATTTCTTTCCTCACTTGATTTGTTTATTTAAGGAAAACAAGTTGCTCCTAATTAGAAACACTGCTGTCGAGATGTTCAGCATATCCTAGGCTGCCTATTTTCAGACCTTCTGCCTAAAATTATACCTGTGCTTTTAACATCTGCGAGTTTGCTCAGCAGCCATCCTAAGTGGAGGCTTCTGGCGAGATAGATTTGGGCTGTTACGGAAGGTGAGGGAGGCGGGGCCGGGGGATACACCAGGCTTTGGAGCACTGCAAGGCAAAGGCACTTGGAAAAATGAGCATGCAACATCCAAAACTCTGCTCAGAGCTGGCACCAATTGCTGAATCGACACTCAGAAAGTGCACGGCACAAGCACGTTCAGTCCTGAGGAGCAGGGAGAAGAGTGATCCTAAAGGTTCAGAGATGGTTTGTGTTTGGAAGCTCTCAGGTGTGTCCACACCCATCTACCCACACACTTGTTTATACCCCGAGAGACACTCAGACACACCCTCAGGGATGTGCATGCTTCAAAGTACACACACACACACACACACAGACATGCACAAAAGTTACACAGCTGCACAAACAGGCAAACACACTCAGAAAAACACATGTACACCCAGAGTTGTGCAAAAAGATACAATACAACACCACTCAGAAGTTCACTCATACATGAGACATGCACGAAACTTACACTGGAACACACAAAAGCACACCTTCAGAGACACTCACATGTACACAGACACACTCAAATGTACACTGCAAGCGACACACCCAGACAGACACTCAGAAATGCACACATACACACGGAGATACGCTCAAGTATGCAATGCTACACAGAGGCACATATGCTCAGAAACACCTGTGTAGATGCCGAGAGATGCATAAAAAGTTCGCACTGCAACACACACAGGCGCACACCCACAGAAACACACATGTATGCACTGACACAATCAAATGCACACTCTAATGTTCACAGATATACATGTTCAGAAACTCACACATACACACAGAGACATTCAGAGATTATACCACAACAAACAGAGGCAAGATGCACACACACACAGAGACAAGCAGTTGTGCAATGCTACACACACATGCCCATAGAGGCACACATAAAGGTACATTTAAAAACATGCAGACACATAATACCTGTAAGTGCATAGTACAAATTCACACTCACATGGCTGTATGCACATGTGTACACTCACACACATGCAGGCATTCAGGAACGCCCACATGGGCATACAAATAACACACAGCTATTAAAACATGCACCAGGCAGACACGCATAGCTTCTTAAACACGGGTATTTCTGCACAGACCCCCTACAGCACACACGCGCATCTGTGCAAGCATGCATCTGTGTAGCTCAGACACACACATATATACATGACTCACATATATACAACTGCTTAACATACACATAGCCACCCTTGCACAGACTCACAGATGCACCCATTCTCTTGCAGGCATGTACACACACACTCATAAATCCACAGACATGCACATCCACTCATACATCCATCAGACACCAAGTACACATTCACACTCACACCATTTACATGCATCCACACACTTATAGTTCTCATGTAAGTTATGCTCACACAAGCACATGAGCACACACCTTCATGAGAGTACACACATATGGACACATTCACACACACTCCTTACTCTACCATGAAAACAAACTGTTCATTTTCTCAGTCTTAAAAGTCAAGTCTACAGACTAAGCAAGCTCACAGTGGAACTGCTTCTGTCCCCCATGAATTCACTCCACGCCATTGGGATGGGGTCTCCCTTCCCCACTGATGGTTTCAGCATAAACCCAGGGAAACCCAGAAGCCTCAGAACCATGCAGAAAAAGATCACACTGACCACTCCACTGCATTCCATCACAATTTCAGCATCCCCTTGTGTGTGCATGCACACGCACACATGCACGTGCCCGTGTGCACACACACACACATACACACACTGCGGTAAGACACTTCTTTCCCCAGCTTGACTTTTCCTGCCAAGAACAGTAGCCTTGTCTGCCTGGCATGGGGTAGTTCTCAGGCATCAACTGACTGAGTGCCCTACACTTAGACATTCTGAACTTCTCTGCCCTGGTCCCTAGACAGCTGCAAGTTGAAGCCATGGAGACTGCCTACCTCCAGCTCCTGATGCCCGGCGATGCAGCAGCTGGGTGTATCCAGCGCTCGCAGACCACCCTGGGCTCCCCACTAGGAGTGGCTGGTCCAGCAGAGATTTTATGAGAAAGCAAAGTGGGGGCGGGGACTGCAGTGTCAGGTGATTGGAGAGAACACGGGGCCTGACATGCAGTCCGGGATCACCTGGTGCTCAGTGGGACGAGGCCAGCCTCCCTTGGGAAAACGGCACCCAGATATCTGCCCACACACAGAACCCAAAAGCAGGTAGCCTTGGTGCTGGCACCGCTGAGCTTTGCTCTTTGCTAAACTCCACACTCAGCACCCTCTAGGCACCATCTCAGTCCTCGCAACAGCCTGCTGAGGTAGGAACTGTGAGCTCCCCATCCTACAGTGGAGGACCCACAGTGTGGAGCGGGAAGTGACTGGTCATCCTTACATCTGATCTGAGACCTAAATCTCTTAAATTCTAAATTAAGATCCTTTCCTGGGATTATGAAAATCTCATCAGTGACAATCACACAGGGCCATAGAACATCTGAACTGAACTGGGACCTCTGAGGATACATGTAATCTCTTCATTTTTGAGAAGCAGCAACTGAAGCCCAGAGAGGGCTAGTGATTTGCCCAAAGTTACACAGCAAATGAGCCCCAACTTGAAGCTCAACCTCCTTACCCAGACCCAGGGCTTTTTCCAGGACATCAAGCACCAGATTCTGATGCCCTGGAGGAATTCTTGGGTTTCGGCAGCCTAGGACACAGCTCCTAACTTGGCCTGAGAGTGGAAGCCCACCTCACACCCCAAGAAATGTCTTAAAAACAACATAGCAATGCTCTCCCCAGAGACAGATGCCCAGCCCCAGTAGGTAGCACCATGCCATCTACGGGGCTGTGACCACAGGGGCAGCTCCAAAACGATCCTCAGAGACCAGGCGACCTCCATGGAGCATGCTTTTTACTAACAGGAAAAATCATCTAGCCAAACTCATGAGCTGTGTTGGCCTCAGCAGAGCCTCTAGGGGCCTGGAGAGTGGGGATGAGAATGCCAGGAGCCCCTCTCCACGTGGCCCTTCCAGCCCCTTTTCTGCAAAAAGTTTGCACCTCCCCAGGCTCCAATAGGAATGATCTCATTGAGCAGCCCAGGAAACTTCCCCTATTTTTTTTCTCTCCTAAGGAGCAGCCCCTTGAGGCTGTAAGAATTACGAAGTCACCTCCACCCTTCCTAGTGGCTCTGCCAAGGTGAGTTGTGGGTTGGCTTTTTCAAAGATACCTGGGGCTGCCGGAAGGGCTTGCAAGGAGGCGATTTGGCTGAGTGGGTCCCCTAGTCTCTAGTTCTCTCTCTATCTACACACACACACACACACACACACACACACACACGCCCCAGAATGGACATAAGCAAATCCGCAAAGCACCCGCACAAAGCCCATTGCCCAGGCATCTCTGGCTGTTGGTATCAGATGACAGGCAGCCTCATTCAGCAGAGTATCACCCCCAAGAAGCATCTCCTCCAGCCAACTTGGAAATATGACTAGCTCCCTCTCTCTTGGAACTCTGCACTGACCATAAAAAGGGTGATTCATAAATCAAATTTATGGGGCCCACTGCCTTCCCGCTGGCCCACCTCCGCGGGAGAAGCTCTTGAATGTATGCCTGCAGGGGGCACAGGAATGCCCAGAGGAAGGATGCCTGGGTGAGCCGGAATGTCCCACCCTCCGCCAAAGGAGAGAAAGTTTGTCATCTACGCAGAGCTGGGCTGTCACCACTCTGGGTTCTTCAGTCGCCGGCTCTGGGTGCTGAGCCCCCAACCTGCGGGGAAGCGTCTGGAACGCAAAGCCCAGATCCGGGGGCAGAAGACATTTCGCAGCAGCTCAGCGCCCCGCTCCCACCTGGAGCCCTCTTCCCGGGTCCAGGCACCTGAGCCCTTACCTGAAGGGTCTCCGCGACTTGCAAACTCTGCCGGCGGAGCTGAGCAGGCACCCGGGGTCCCTCACTGAGACTCCCGCGTCCCGCTTGGCACACCCGCTCTGTGGGCGCCTTCCCGGCTGCTGCAGTGGCTTCAAGGAAAGCAGAGCTTGGATTTCCTTTCTTGCCACCAAGGCTCCTCCTGCCGGGCCCCGGGGCTATTTCTCCAGGTCTGGCTCAAGGGGCATCCTCCGCACCTCCAGCGGGAAAGTGGGAGAGTGTGCGCCCTGGATTGCAGCAGCGGCGACAGCGGTGGCCGGGGACGAGGAGGCGGTGGCGACGCCAGCCGGCGAGCCAGGGAGGCGGGCGGAGGCGAGAGGAAGTGAAAGCCGGGCTCCTGCCAGCCTGGCGCTCCGGCGGGCGGCACTGCGGGTGCCCCGAGCCGCGGCGAGGCCCCGCGCGGGCACCCGCCCGGGGATGGAGATGCCCGGGCTCGGTGCGCGCAGGGCACAGGCTGCCGCTCTGCGCGGGGCTCCGGCCGCCTCGTTCTAGCTCGCTGACTCGCCGCTGCCTCCTCGGCTGCCTGGCTCGCTCCCCTGGACTTCACGTCTCCAGCCCTAGCTCCCCGCGCCGCTGCCGTCGCCACCAGCAGCGCGCCTCAGCCCGGCGCGCTCCTCGCGCGGTGCCACAGCACTGCCTACCGCTTAACTCCTTGCATGCCACCTGGCCCTCCCGCAGCCTCCCGGGGAGCCGGGCAGATTCGGTGCCAGGCCGGCTGAGCCTATTGGGCAGGGGCCTCAGCCTTCCAGCCTCAGTGTCCTCGTCTGTAAAACGGGCTCGAGACACAAGCCCAAGCCACAGGGTCGCCGGAAGAATTCACTGAGCAGATTACGTAGTGCCAAGCTGCGTTCCATGGGGAGTATGCACCCCAAATGGCAAAAAAGTGCTTGCTGCTGCTGCCACTGTTGTCGTCCAAGAGACTTAGCACTGTGCCTTCCTTGCAAATAGTAAACACCTAAGAAAGCAGTTTTGGTTTTTAGCATTTAGTTTGTTGTTTTAACAGGTGGTTAAGTTTTAGCTGTATGACCTCTGGGTGATAACTCGCCCTCTCTGAGCCTGTTGCTTTCTAAGCTCTGTGACCTTGGGCAAGTCTCAGTACCTGTCTGAACCTCTGTGTCCACATCAGTAAAGTAGGGACAATAATGCCCTCGGTCAAAGAATTCCCAGAGAAGCTCTAGCAGAGGAGCCCAACTCATGAAGGGGCAGGGCACGTAACAGGAGCTGGACATCTTTTCTTTCTTGATCGGCTTGGTAGCTCTACAGGTGTTTGTGACAAGCCATTGAACTGTGTACATTTACATATCAAGTGCTTTTCTGTATTTGGGTTAAATCTTAACTGTTTCCTTTCTGAGTGACAATTCTTGAGCAAAACACAACTGAGTTAAAGTGTAGGCTCTGTTACTCTCTGGTTGCGTCACCTTAATCAAGTTATTTCATCTTGAGGAGCCTCAGTTTCCTCATCCATAAAATGGGAACAATGATAGTACCTACTTGATAGGTGATATAAGTAGGTACCTGCTTACATCATTGTTCAGTTCTTTTGCTGTACTTCCAAACTAGGAGATTAGAATTAGCTGTAAAAAATAAGCAGTAAGGTTGTAGGATTTTCGTCTAAAACACAAACACTGTCGATTTTGCTAAGAAGGGATGAAGTCTGTTTCTTCTAGATCTTACCATTGAGCGCACTTTAAGAATTAAAGGGTTTCAAGCAAAATGGCAGATATAAAGCTTGAGGCCTGAACTGAACCAGTATCTGCGGGTACTTACCACGTATTCTACAGTATTTTATATATATCCATAGTAAAGAGGTGTCTGAGAAACAACCGAGAGAACTGAGTTTGAATCTCTGCAAGAGTTGCCAGGTAAAATACAGGATGCCCAGTTAAATTTTTAGTGTAAGTATGAAATTTACTTTGGATATACTTTCACTATTTTTTTACATTGTTTACTTGGAATCCAAATGTCATTGGGTGTCCTTTATCTTATTTTGTGGCATCTTGCAATCCTAACCCCATAATTACCAGCTGTGTTTCCTGGGATAAATGGCTTAATCTCTCTGGCCTTGGTTGCCCAATCTGTAAAACGGGATGAAAAGTCTTTTCTAATGTTGACAAGAGAATGAAATTGACGAAAGTGGGTGGGTGTTCCCAGCAGCACATATTAAACCCTCCACATTTGTTCCATACACATCCTGTCAGTCATCTGCCTCCCTCCTCTTCTGTTCTTCCTCTTTTTTCTACCTTGTCTTGAGGTTGCCAGGGCTCTGCACAAGCATTGTTCAGCCCTTTTGCTGGCCTTCCAAACTAGGAGATTATAATTGGCTGTAAAAAATAAGCAGTAGGGTTGTAGCATTTTCATATAAAACACAAACACAGTTGATTTTGCTAAGAAGGGGTGAAGTCAGTTCCTTCTAGATCTAACCGTTGAGAACACTTTAATTTTTGCTAAGGGCTTGTGCTCTACCCCTGTGTACCCCTGGCATGATTTGTGTTTCAGGTTTCCAAGAGGAGCCTCTCTCGTTGCCTTTTATGTCAGCTCAGAATTTTATTACTTCTGGCTAAAGTCTGTTGCAGGACTCATGGAGGAGGGAGAAGAAACAAAGCAATCTTTGAAATAAATTACAAAGAGCAAAACAGGGTGATGTAAGAGAGTTTCCGAGCATTAAGATCAGCCGACACCTCCGAACTACGTTCATAAAACGAGTCACTACTCCATACATCACTGTCATTTGAACCACAGTGTCTAAAAATAGGATTTGCTCTAATTTCCTCAGTAGCTGGAACAAATGGAGAGAATGTGCGAGTCGTGAGTGGGCTGTGTGGGGCGGTAAGTAACTTCCCTTAGATGGTATTGCTCTAGAGGGGAAAGAAGAGGACTCGCCTTCAGAAATGTCAAGCTTATCCTGACGGAGCTCAAAGGCCTGAGATGAAGGACTCTGGAGTCAGCCAGGTCTGGAATGGAGCCCCAGCTCTGCCAACTCCTAGCTGGGTGGCAGTTAAGTTAATTGACCTCTCTGGGCCTTATCTCTTTAACAATTGAAAACATAGTATTTTAACCTCTCTGGCCTTATCTTTTAAGAATAAATAGAACTGAAAGAATAGTAGTTCTAACTTCAGGAGCATTTTGTGCAGATTAAGCAATAGGCACATACAGACAGTTTACCACAGTGCTGACCATACAGGTTATTATGCACATGAGCCATGATCTGTTATTTTAATGATTCCAGATGGACGGAATAGATCCAAGGCAAAGTGTGGATGTCATTTCTTCAGGTCACTGGAGAGAATTCCAGTCCTGGAATTCGAGTGTGTGTAGGTGCCAATGTTTTTTTTTTTTTTTTCAGGCAAAAAACAACTGACTCACATTACTATTAATATGTGAAAGGGAGAATGAGGTTGGGAAAAGAGAGTTTTGTGGGGTCACTGTGACTTTTTCCTAGGGACAGATAGACACTGAAGGAGGTCTTTGA